TATTCGAAAAAACGTTTATATTTAAACGCTCTATTTAAAAATTATGCTATTTATGATTTATACCACAATATGAAACTATAGAACGATGATAAATCGTAATGAAGCTATTATTTCGCTTTATTTTGTGTTTAAAAATACCATTTTCATGCCTGGTGTGTGCCTGGTAAACTAAATAACCATTGCCTTTTCATACGCTCATGCTGCACAAAGTATATCCTTTACACTTTTGTTTTTCGCCCAAAGCGAACGAACGCTCCCGGTTTTGAAGCTTAACGGCTTGAAATTGTTAAGCGCAGAATGAAGAAGGACGCAGCAGCGGTCCCGACGAAACAACAAAAAACGAAGCGCGGAAAAACCGTTTGTGTCCCAAGGCGTCGATAACTAGTGATGCTTTTATGTGTTTTTTTTTTCTCTTTTAACATTTTCGCATTTACTCTAAGGGCGACGCGGTGCGGCGCTCGGCGTCGCGATCTTTTCTTTGCGGCAATCATACGGCAGCGCTGCAGGATCGCAAGAAACTCGTCTTGGAAAATGAGTCACTTACAAGGCGCATTCAAGGGACCAAAGAGACGCATTGCAGCATTTCTCGGGTAAATTACTGCAATTACAAGGGGCGCGAATCAATTTAAATAAAATTACATTAGAACCACCACGATCACGAAGGCAATGAGTTCTTCATTGTAAATTATTGCATAAATATTTTAAGAAGGTTAAACGATGGCGGGTTAAATAATTAGGCGAATAAATTAAAAGTTAGTGTAACGATTGTTTCCATCTTCTGGACCGAGAAGCGTGTTGAGCTTAAGTGTTGTTAATCCAACATCTTTCAACGCCTTGTCTACTAAAGCAACTTTTGTTCGGTTATAATGAGGCTTTAAATAAGGGATAACAAAAGATTTGAATAAAGAATCTAAGGAGCACAATGGACGCAACCGTCAAGATGGTGTTAAACTTTTGCACTGACAAGGATAATGCCTGATATTTTATTGCTTGGCTTCCACGTGAAATGATGTTTTCTAAATTACCGGAAATGACATCTTCATAACGCCAGAGATAATATATGAGATGGGATCCAGCGAATATTATAGTTTGGAACAACTAATCTGCGGTATTATTAATAACGCGAATCGAAATTGATATGATGCATTAATTAACCTAGAAATTAATTTTGTGGTATTATTAATTAATATCTAGCACTATAATTTAAATTATTTGTGTTTATTAGCAAAATTAATATTTTATTTAATTTTTTAGGTGGCATATTTACTGAAGTAAAAAAAAAGAACGTAAATTAATGAAAAAACACTGTTAATCAATATTGTTGCTCATTTTCTGAAAGTATTTAGTATTTTCCCATCGCGGAAAGCGAAAAAGACATCGTAAAAACCTTTTATAAACAGAATTATTAGTTGCCATAAAACCGAAATAAGAACTGAACTACTTCTCTGATATTATGGACTAGCCGAGGCCGTTAGTTTATTAAGTAATAATAAAATGTTTAATATTCGTTCTGGTAAAGTGTTATGAGGATACATAAATTTATTTGTTCGCGCTATACAAATAATAATAATTTAATTGCGTTTGAAACTAAACCACTATAAAATTGAAAGTAAACATTTACCTAAAATAATTCGATATAAATTTAAAATAAGCCATTCTAGTCAGTCAATTTATTCCGTTAGTCCGCTTTGAACATTGTAATCATGTATAAATAACCGAATTATTCACTTCGTGGGCGCTGATAAAGCAGAGAGCATCTATTTAGTTGACCCTTGCTGCCATTTGCAAATAACCCTCGTATACCCGTCAATATAAAATATTCCACATTATCAATAATGCCACATACTGGTAAATAATTTAATAACGTTCTCGGTTCAAGCCTCTAATTTATTATTCAAACACGTAAATAATGCATGCATTATTTTAGGAGTCGTTTAACCCATATCACATTAAGTATATACGTTTATTGATTACTTGATTGGTATATTTAAAAATTATACTGAACACAAAAGGAGAGTTTCACTGATTGCAACCAAGACCTAAAATTAACCCTCGCCAATCTCGGGTGATTATGTTATACGGCTATCGGTGATTCACTAAGTACAGCAATGTAACAAGAGTCCTGCCTACCTGGGTGCTTCAAATTCCTAATATGTATTCGGGACCAACGGTCCCTTCTTCTCCTTCTCCCATTAGGTTGCGAATAAAGTGAACCAAAGTTCAGGCGGCTAAGCAAAACAATTTCAGAGTTGGGTTTTTAATCATTACAATTAATTTTCACTTCGGACTCGCCGACGATTTCAGTCTATCGGGGGCTAAATACGAATTAATTGCCAATCGTTTAGTACAAAAAAGGAAAAACGGGCAATGTCAGCTCGGTTTTTGGGATTCTGTTGGTTTAACGTATACAAATAGATCAGTAAAAAGTAATTTATACTTTTTTCTTCAATTAAATTTATACCAAGTGTCTATAGTAATAAAATTAAATAAAATAACTTTAAATTATTAAACGTGGCGTAATTGCCTTCTATATTTAGTTAATATTGGTATCATAAACGTCACCTGACGCTGTAAAATTGAGGGAATTCTATTGCTACCAATATCATTGGATTGTTCAATCGTGCGAAAGCTCATGTATATACTCGTATATTCAAAGTGTATTTCTATTTGCTGTTTCACAACGTGCCCTCTGTGCCAGTCGCGTATCCGAGTCTCAACAGGCGCTTGATTACATTTCTACTTTGGTGCCTCCTATATGTAAGTACACTTGTGTTTGTCTGAAACAATATTCAGCATTTGCTAGCGACTCTGATCATTTGAAGGCATACTGCCATTTGCACGAACGAGAAATACGCATTTAGCTCGATATCCTTTTAAAATTTAAATTCCAGTCAATTTATATTATTTGATTAAAGAAAAAATATAAATTACACACAATTATTTTTAAGCATGTATATAATAAAATGTAAATGTAAATATGACATCATTCACGACGAGTGTTCACTCAGATTATGTATACTTACGTGCTACCATTTGTTAAGTATGCTGATATTTACTATTTACACACTAATGAGAAACGCGCCCGTTTGAATAATGGTTATATTATGCGATAAATTCTCCGGTTATGCTTCCAAGAAAATTATGAAACGAAATAATATTACTACTCTCGCTATAAATTAGCATTAGGTACTATAACGCTCAACCTTACGTAAGGATTAATTACATACTCGTATAAAGTTGAAGCAAGAAGAGTTAAGAGACGAAACCCGCTTTCGAATTTCGTTTTAACCCTTCAGGCCATTTCTTGCCGACGAAAACTAGCGCGCTGGCATCTAGGACCAAACATTTATTATACTCGCAACGTCAACTTTTCATTTCTTTAGTAACACGGAAGAAAAAACACTTACCAACAAAAACAAAAATGCACCAACATGAAAATTCTATTAGAAAACGCGCTTACCTTCTGACTTACTCATAGGTTTACCGTGTTGTTGTGTTCGTGGTTTTTCAGCTACTCTTAAGCTTCCCCAGCAGCTTTATAGTACAAAAGAAGGAACACTTTGTTTATCCTCTTCACTCATAAAATATACTGCGTAGGTGTTGGTGTTGTGTAGTTGGCTGCGTGGTTTTGGGCGTCCGCGCAGAGTCGTAATAAAATAATACATTTAAAAGATCGTAAACCGGAAACCACCGAAAGGCATCATATATTCGAGCCCTTTTCCTTGGCCTGTTTCCACATGTGTGGGTGAGTGTCTTCACAGACTCCAGCGAATTTTATGATCTGAAAGAGACAAGATGAAGACACGAAAATACGTTGCGATATGTAGGACATTCGGGAACCAAAGTATTAACATCTTTAGAGAACGAAGATGATTAAATCGTATGCCACTGGAAAACTATTAAAAACATCATTAATTCAAAGAGAAAGTAATACAGCTATATAAAAGTCTGCATACCGTTTATTACTACTGATATCATTTTAGTACCTACCTATAAATAACTGCGCATCATTTCAAAACACATAAGATAACTGCGTTTACAAAAAATTTGCAAAAACACATATTATCGCTAATTAAAGATTAACGACAAAATAATTACAAGGATAAATAAAAAAATACTTACATCAACGTCTACACTATACCCCATGACGTTTGAATGATGACTTGAGCTGACCACGACCAAAATATAACCGAGTCCATTTTTCTCTCCGCTATTGACTGATGACTGATGAACTTGCAGACGCGTGACTGATTTGCACAAAAGCCCGCTGCTTTTCTGCCATCGCAACATTTTCGCCACACAGCAATTAGAACTTTTCCTTTCCGATGCCCATTCCGATGCTCACTCATCCACTTCTCTCCTTTCTCTTCCGGCGTTTCGCAGCGGGCTGTTCCTTTTCTCTTTGAAATTATTTTCGCTTCACCAGCATCAAATTCTGAGCGAAGAATGAACGGACGGACCAATGCTGCGACCTAGGAGTGTGACGCAAACGCATTTTCACGTTCGCTGCCCACAGCAGGAGTGATTGATTATGCCGCGTGTCCTGAACCATCGCCAGACACCGTCCGTGCTCGCGCAAAAGTCCAAATACTTACGGTCTTAACAATGTTGCCAGTTTATCAGATTCTAGGGGATACCAACCAGGCATTAATAATGTAATTTGACGGTTTACTATAAACGTAGATTGAATAATTAATAATTAACAATAATCTCTATAAAAACGTTTGTTTGAATAATTTATTTTATTTTAAAATTAAACTCGTACTTTTTATTATACCCGTGATGTGTGGGTGTAGTAAATAATGTGAGTGCTAAACCTAGTTTCTGAAATTCTCCGAGGAGTCATGACTTACACACAAACTCGGTACAAAAAGTGGTTTGTCTGAAACAAGTTACGAACTAGATTTTTTTTGCACAAACTTATTTTTTTCTGGAACATTAAAACTATATTACTGATAGTAAACATAGAAGAACACAAACATGTTGATTACGCCTGCATGGAGTCTGGACGGATCGAGTAGTCCAGAGGAAATGTTGACGGTCCTAAGCCCGTGTAAAGAAGGAAGGTTCAAGGGTGAGGCCAGCGACCTGCCCTGGGTAAAAAGGATTAAAGTGCTCAAAGTACCAGTGGAGAGCCTCGGAATGGGACAGATCTAACGATAACGAACAAGGCAAGAAAACGGAAACAAAGAATAACAAAGCAACATAACCTAAGATTGGCAACGTGGAATATCAGGGCACTCAGTAACCGACAACAAGAACTGGAAAACGAAATTAAAGACTATAAAATTGATATGTGCGCGATTCAGGAAACCAAAAGAAAAGGCAAAGGACAGATGATTATTGGGGAATATCTATTAATATACAGTGGAGTTAAGGAAAACATGAGAGCAAAGGAAGGTGTTGGAATAATGATTCACAAAAAGTATGTAGACAGCATTAAAGGAATATCGTATGTTTCAGAACGAATTGTAAGAATTAGAATAGAAATCAACAAAACAAAATTAAATATAGTCAGTGTGTATGCTCCTGAGAACTGTAGAAGCCAAACCATAAGGGAAGATTTCTACGATAAACTACAAGAGGAGCTAGACAAAATCAACAACAACGAAGCTATTATAATCCTAGGAGACCTAAATGCAAGAGTTGGAAATAGAGTAATACCGGGCATTAAACAACGGTTCAATGAGGAAGTAGAAAATGAAAATGGGGAACTTTTGACAACCTTATGCACAATCAATGAGCTAAGAATAAATAACACATTTTACAACCACAAGCAGCAACATAAGTATACTTTCAACAATGAACGCGGATATAGGTCAACAATAGACTATATCATCACGAACAGGGAAATACCACCAACAGATATATTAGACATAAGAAGTTTAACATCAGCAGATATTGGAAGCGACCACAATTTAGTTATGGCGAAAATTAGAATTAATCCCATCAAAAAAACGAAATCAAATAAAGAAACTAAGCTACAGGAAAAAATAAAAGTGGAAGGACTGTCAGATGAAACAACAAGAAACCTTTACCTAAATAGACTAGAACAAAAAATATTGAACAACAGCATAACAGATGAGGATGATGTAGACAAAGCATGGGATAAACTAAAGACCAATGTCACACAAGCTGCAGAGGAAGCATTGGGAAGCAAGGAAGTAAAACCATACAACCCCTTTGGAAAGAGAACGCCCTGGTTTACCGACGAAATTAAACAAAAATGTAAAGAAAAAAGACTTGCATACCAGCAATATAGAACGGAAAGGACAATGCAATCATACCGCAAATACAAGAGGAAACGCATCGAAACACACGAACTAGTCAGAACAACAAAAAAACGAGCATTTTAGGATATTCTCGAAAAATCTAGAACATGATTTTTATGGAGCCCAAAAAATCATATGGAAAACAATTAGACGACAAAGACAAGAACTCAAAGAGCTGCTAGAGAGTAAGCATATAGAGAAAGAAACCTGGATCAAGTATATTGAAGAACTACACAATGCAAGCATAGACGAAAACGCGATTAACAACACAAGGATTAGAATACAAGAAGAAGCTACTAGTGTGAACAAAAATGAGATCGCAGAAGTACTAGCAAAACTGAAAAACAGAAAAGCAGCCGGCCCGGATGGAATAGCCAACGAATTATTGAAGTATGGAGGTCAAAAATTAATAACAGAAATTACCAAGATGATCAACAAAGTATTAAAAGAACGCAGAATACCCAATGAATGGAGGACAAGTACCCTAATTATGCTATTCAAAAAAGGAGATAGGCAAATACCATCAAATTACAGGGGAATCACCTTACTCAGTACAACACTAAAAATAACAACTCGAATAATATCCAACAAAATACTAGAACGAACTACATTCGGGGACGAACAACAAGGATTTCGAACAGGAAGATCGTGCAACGACGCCATATTCATCCTTAGACAAATAAAAGAGAAGGCAATAGAATGGAACCGACCAGCATTTATTTGTTTTGTGGACCTAAAAAAAGCCTTTGACCGCATAAAGCTACATGACATCACAATTATACTACAAAATCGACAAATTCCACAAGACATTACGGAAACAATAGAAAACATCTACACCAAGAACCAAGTAAAAATAAGAGTCAATAATGAAACAACTGAGCCAATAAACATCGGAACCGGCATAAGACAAGGAGACTCATTGAGCCCGTTGTTGTTCAACTTGGTGATGGAAGAAATAATAAATAAAACCAGGAAGTGTCAAGGATATATAATGGGAAACAAAAAGTAAATATGGTATGCTATGCGGATGACGCTGTACTCATAACGAACTCTGAAGACAACCTCCAGAAAATTTTGCACCAGTTCAACAAAGCAGGCAAATTGTACAACATGGAAATAGCGCCTGAAAAAACAAAATGTATGGTATTATCAGCTACACCAATCAGATGCAAACTGGAAGTAGAAGGAAAAATAATAGAACAAATCAGCGAGTTCAAGTACCTGGGAATCAACATTTCAAGCCACGCAGGTATAAGGGAAGAAGTAGCGGAACAAGTTGAGAAGGGAACTAAAATTGCGGGATGCCTGAAAAACACCATATGGAATAATAAACACCTAAGAAAAGAAGCTAAGGTATCTATTTATAAAGCAGTAATTAGACCCATTTTAACGTATTCAGCGGAAACAAGACCGGAAACAACAATAACTGCCAGACTTCTTACAACAGCAGAAATGAGAACACTACGGTGTGTGGAAGGCAAAACGATCAGAGACAGAATCAAGAATGAGGACATCAGAAGAACGTGCAAAATAGAAAACATTACTGAATGGAGCGAAATGAGAAGGAACGAATGGAATGAACACATAGAAAGAATGGAAGGATCGAGAATAGTTAGGGTTGCTAGAGACAACTCTCCAAGAGGAAGAAGATCACTCGGTAGACCAAGAAAAAGGTGGAGTGATCACTTCGGCCAGGCCCACTGAAGAAGAACAGGCAACAGTGCCTATTTTGGAAGAATAAGAAGAAGAAGAAGAAGTATTTACATCGAAGTAATAGGATTCAACAAATTATTTTTCTATACTTCGTATGACTATCAGTGTTTGCCAAGAAAAGAGTATTAAAACTTTTGTAAAAAGACAAAAATAAATCATTTCCAAGTACATAAACTCCCCTTCTGCTAGTTCGTGCTACAATTACTTTCAGCAACGGTGGCATATCACTGGCGTACAAAGTATACGTAATAACTTTTCCCGTGGCTGAATTTCCATCAAACATCTGTCTCATAAATAACTTTGAAAGTAAACAATGAAAAATAATAAATTACAAAACGCAATCGACAAAACTATCCGATAAACACACGAGAACCACACACCATATTCGGCACATACATATTTTCGTTCTCCTTTTTACGACTTCGATATCTGCACTTTGTTCAGCATGTCCATCAATCAAAGCTAAAACTCGAGCGCCAGCGTGTCACCAATGTTCGATGGATTTCATATCTCGCATCACGCAACCTTTTTTCATGTTCCACGTAATAAAATGGCAAATCATAACTAAACAAAGCGGCAGCGGGAAGTGTATTATGCATTCCTCCAACCACACACAGTAAAAACAATGTGAACGAGCAAAGTTAATGCCTATTTATTGTGCGACTTTGTGTGGCACATTTTTTCACGTTGTACCCAAATGTTCACCCACGCGTATTTACGTGTTTTTGTCGAAAAAAAGTTGTGTTTTTTTAATATAGCCGAAGCGTCGGATGGGATGCGGTATTGTATGGTAATTTTATATCGACCTGACGATGGTGCAGACCGTGGCCTGTCGGAATTTTTGAAATGCAAATACCGCTGCGAGCGCGCGACACTTTTTTCGGGGGCGGCGCGCATGGTTAGGTCTCCTTCGGGAGAGCGCATCGTGAGTGTCGCGACGAGCTGGAAAACATTGGGGACGCCCGGGAGCAGACGCATTGCTCACTCCAATCGGCATAACCAAATTAGATTTAAATTTGCTGCTCGGCTACTGTTTCAGTTTCACATGCCACTGATGTAGTTACCAAAAACTAGGACTTCAATTGAATGATGGGAATTGTAAAAATGATTACAGGCAGATGAGTTGGGAATATTACATTCTGAGTTAATGAATTTTACGTTTTACCTTCTTGAAATTGTTCCGCCACGAGGTTGAAATGCTGCACATATTTTTATTTATATTTTGGTTCGATTCACTTTAATCTGCACGCTGCAACAGTATCAATCGCACTGAACACGCTTCGCTTGCACTAGCATTGCTGAAATTTATCTACTAACGCTAGTCGAAAACCGGTTTGCAAAACATTAAAAATTCAACGCAAACCAACTTCGATGTTGTGCACTGTCTACAGCAAGAGTTACAGACGTAATTGAAGTAATTCGTTCTTCGCATTTTTGTTCGTATTAAACGTTTTGCCGTTAAACCTGTTAGTGGCAACTTGCACTTTATGTGTTTTCCATTCCATAAGTGGATTACACCAAAATGAAACCATTTTGGAAGAGATGCGAAGCGCACGAAATTCTAAATGCGGTGACAGAAACGCGACACGCAACTGATTATAATCCGTGTTTGGACGGCCCGGAAAATCCCCCCAGGCGCAGGCAATTCGAAAACTCATGCATAACATGTTAGCACAAGATTTATTTTCATTTCCATTGTAGTTTCAAGCTACTATTGTCTCTAGATCACGCTATAATAATATTTAACTCTGTATTAATGTGTTTCGATTAGGTTTTGTAAATGTTTAGACATTAATTAAATTAATTACACCAATTAATTGTAATTCATTAATTGCTTCAAGACCAGAAGAACTGAAACATTGAAAGTTTCGAAACGCAATAAAAGAATGCAAACAATTTCAGGGAGTAGCAGAAGAAAAAAGCTGTCGAATAAATTTAGCTTTTCCTTTTCTGTTAGTCGTTTTTTCTGCAAGCGTAATAAGTTTTCCACGAACAGAGAAACCAATTTATTAAGTCAAACCCATTGTAATCAAGCATATAGACTAACAGAAAAGTTACTAGTTTTTACTTTTCCATTGAAATATAAAAACTACTTCACAAACTAAAAAGATAATTATAGAAATAAATTTCTGTGGATTTTCAGTATTTATTGAATATGTAGGTTGTTTTCTTCTTGACATGACCTATTCTCCAACGGATTGAGAATTGAGTCCGCATAGATGAAATGACAAAAGTGATAACTTGTTCCGTGTGAAACGGATAAGTCCGAAGTCGACGAACTTGATCCGCGGGCGGATGTGTAGCGTGCAGGGATTTCTATATTTTTTGCTCGACTTTTCCGATCCGCTTGTCGAGATTCGACGCGCTCGCTGGAAAGTGAGATGGCAACCGAAGCGCGAGTAACAAATCCAATTTCTTGACATATTATCTGCGCCATGCCGAAACGGGCGCGCCGCCTCTTCCGCGATATTATGGGATTTGAGTGCTTGCTGTAAAATAGCGCGTTAAAAGAGACGTGCCCCAGCGTCTCTGTCAATGAGGGGGCGGTTTGGGCGCGTTCGTAATATGAAAAAATTACTTTCGTTAGAATAACACTTCTTATAAGCTGCTTTGGTGTCATCTCCGGGCGGCGGCAAAGTTTCAACACGCATAAGCAGCCAAAAACGAAAAAGGGGAGAAATGCAAGTAATGCCGAAGATGTTCTGAAAATATTTCAACATAAAAATATAAAAATGCAATATAATTGCAGTTTATTTATTAACTTGTATTGTAAATTAAAAACAGTAAAATTAATATTTGTATCAAGCCATTGTAGGTTCATAAAATGAAAAACTTGTTCTCGAAATAGAATGAAGAATGATTATATCAAGAAAACAATAAAGTTCAACTCTAATAAAGAAAGACATAATAAAAATGATTGATGATAGTTACTATTTGAAATGTATGTTATGAGCACAGTAATTGAAAGCACATCAAAAATATACTTTATTTCATCTTAACGATATCACAAAGTCAAAATAACAAATTTTTACTTTCTGAAAATTTTAATGTTTGTGCGAAAAATGTTTTTGTGAGTATTCAGTCAAAGAAACTAAATATAGATATGTTGACGTAGGACATTTCGGACAAGCTTTTGAATCATAAGATTGGCCAATGCGGTAGAATATAAAATTGATTTTCCAACGGAGATTGTGCGCGCACACTGTTTGAATATAAAGCGGCCAGTCAAAATGGCAAATCTGGTAGGGTTTAAAACGAATAGGACTTCTCATGCAAAAAAACGGAACCTTTTCTCTTCTCACGAACGTTGAGCGAGGAAACGATTACGTAGGGCTGCGTGTACAGATGGAAAGTTATAACTCAAGTGGCTTTATATGCGATTGATCAATTAATCATTTGATCTGTGAGTACGTATTGAATCAAAATGGACAATTCACGTTAAAAAAAAGTTACGTTTTGTTACGTTTTGCGTAAACATAAATAAATCAACTTTTTTCACATCTTGTTTGCATAATATTTTCAGTTATTTATTGAAAGATATTCAAATATTCAAAAAAAAAAGAAGGAAAAAACAAGGTAATCATTGACATGGCGTTTCAAGCATCAAACAAATGTGCTAATTTCCTTTTCATCAAATTTTCAATTTAGTTCATAACCGCCGGTGTCGAGGCATAGAGCAGTTTCATTAAAAATCAATTAAAACTTTTAATAGCTTGCTTATGACAGAACAACACCTTGCAGCACTTTCATTCACACTAAACATAATGTGATCATAAACAATTCAAATATTGATTGTTAAAGCAATAGTTTTACTTCAAAAAATTTAAAATTAAACAAATTATTAGAACCTACAAACGGTTTATTTTTTAGTAAATTAGGCTAACACCGAAAACGAACAGGCCTAAAATTTTGGCAGGTGCGCACAAGCAACAGCTTCTAAATAAATTACACAAATGAGGGACTTTCACGCACGTACCTCTTCAATTCCCAGAACGCACGACAGCAGCAGTGCCCGGCGCCTTCACCGTCACCGTGTGTTGCTTCGGCACGTAGCCGACACGAGATGACACGACCGAACGAGACACGAAAGTAAATTTGAGCGAATGCAAGGATGCTTGCAAAAACGCTTGGATAGAAAACAAGTTTAGCCTACAAACTGAGTAGGAAGCTGTGGGAAAAACATTGTACAAATATACAACAAAACAAATTTGAATAATAAAACTAAATCACCAGAATTTACAAAGAAATGGTAAAATTGGTAGTGTTGACATGAAATATATCGCTTTTAAAACAAATGTTATGTAGATTGAAACCGGAAGAAGCGTTTTGTTGAATATCCTATCGACGCCCCGCCATTAAAGAAAAATTCGAGGCGCGACACTGATGCGATGACTTGTTCGAAGCGTGTATGCCCCGCGGGCAACAAGCACTTTGTCATTTAAGTACTCTTGACATTTCCTTTTCACCATCGAATATAAAAACCCATTCATCTTCTACTCGTATGCTTCCTCGTATAACATCTTCGAACATCGCACAAACAGAGAATATTATAATATGAGGTTATGCATTTTAAAGTTTTTGGCAAAACAATTTTAATAATAAAACTCAAAAGAATAAATTAAACAAAAAAACTAAAGTTTAAGTTTTGTTGTTAGTGAGTAAAAGTCCGCATCTAGTCGAATTTAGTTTTACTTCACCGGTGCGGGCTATATTCCGCTTTTGTGTGCTGAATACGTTTTCGTACAATTCGAGAGTTTTATTATCCTTTTCTAAGTTTACATTCACTTTATCTGTTCAACTTTGCATAGCAATGTGTTGTAAAATGAAGAATGTTGCAAGAATTATTCCAGTAAGAATTTCATCTGTATGCTAACTAAATAATTGCAGTTGAAAACAAAAATTTTAAAAATATTTGTTGCATTTTATAAATTATGTAATAAATTATTTATGGTTGACTGCATTTGCAGTGTTATGTCAAACGCTCGATAAAATAATAATTCCACTTTGAAACAAATAATCAAAATTAATGTCACACAACTTTATTGGGTCATTTGAACAGTTATGCACAAATAGTGGCCCATTAAACACTAATGAAGATATACGGAACCAGTTTTAAAGTTTCTATAATGTTAGGAAACAAGGGCGCATGAATCACGATAATACTAAAGGGTGCA